GCATTATAAGAACAAAAATTATAAATAAATTACAGTTGAGATCGCCTAATATTTATATTCTCTTTACATGTTACTTACAAATTGTTTTTAAAGTCTTCATATTTTAAGATCATTGAACGATCATTTCATTATTAAAGTTCTTAAATATATCTTTTTCAATATAAAAAAACAAGTAATATATGAAATAGCATATAAATTGAAATAAAGATAATTCATAGACATGCATAGATTCATAATAGACCTATTTTACTGTTGTTGCGGGCTAGAATATACGCGGCGATATAGTTTACAAATTCACGTCTGACGAATATTCAGCACACAAACAGAAAAGAAAATGAACACCAGGATTTTTACGTGGAAAACTAGAAAGAGGGAAAAAAACCACGGGGCCACGCCCAGCTGAAAAGTTCCACTAGTGTTTTGTAAATTACAAGAAGTTGATTCGTCCCACAAGTCAGGATGATCAGATTACAATCTGTTTCTTCTAACTTGAAGCAAATTTACAAAGTTCTGGAGAATTCAGGCGTCTCCCAAAAATCCGGCAGAGTTCTGGCGTATTCATGCGGCAGAAAGAACTCCGGTGGTGGTCGAGGAGGAGATGATTCTCCCTTTCTCCTTTTTCTCTTCTCTTCTTCTCTCTCCTCTCACTTGAGTCCTCTTGTGAAGAATGAGGGCTTTATTTATAATTTTTCTGGAGTGGCATGGCTTGTAAATAGGTGTGAGATCAGGGGCGAATAGGGAGTGGTTGAATGGACGTTGATGTTGAACCCTTCGATCGTGCACCGTTCGTTGGACATTTGAAGGCCTTAGTGATGTTGGAATTCGACGATCATGGGCTCGTTGGATTTGTCTCGTCGAGCAGTTCGATTCGAGTATAAGCTTGTTAAAATCGGAGAACCTTCGATAACTCAAATTGTGATTTGAACCTTCCAATAGCGCTTCAGGTCATTGATTCGGGCCCATTTGGGCTCGGATTGGGTCGAGTTTGGTGTCATTGGGTTTGTATTTCCGAGACGCTCAGTTTGACTATAAGCTCGCTGAAATCAGAGTTCAGATGCTCCTGAATTTAATTTTTGAAGTTCCTGGTTTGGTTTTTGCCTCGAGATTCGTGCCCGATCAAGATTTTTTCATGATGATGTATCAACTATAACTTGATATAGGTAATGATCAGTGCTCATTGATTATAAGTTACATTGTTTATATTGGTGTCAATAGCTCATATGAAATGATTATTTATATTGACAATCTTTCATTTTTACTAGTGCATATTCATACTGATATAAATTGAATGATTGCAAGTATATTGTTTCATTTTTTTTTAGTATATTGTTTCTATTGAATTACATTGATTATAGTTATAGGTTTGGTAACTTGTTGGATTGTTAATTCGATGTGTGGTTTTAAATATTTTTTTAGAAAGGGTTAGGACCCAGCAGAGTGAGGTGGTCTTATTTAAGGATTTTATATTTTATTTTTTAAATTTTATATTTTATTCTTTTCTAGTCAAAAGTGTTAAGGAAAAGAATGGCGCATTGATTAAACTTCTGATATTATAAATGGACTTTTGATGAATATAGTAAAAATATTTTGATGTAAATGATTGCTTTTTATGACTTTTGTTAAATAAATAAAAATTAAATGCTCTGATAGATTAATTAAACGATTCTTCCAAATTAGATCTTGGGACGTCAAAATTATATTCTAGAAAATTTACAACAGAGCATTCATCCCATAGCTTTATACAAATATGTATAACATATAAATAAAAGTTGGTAAGAGATTAGAATTTTTGTGAAAAATATAAAATAGAATAAACTACAGGGCCTAGCCTAGTTATAATAATCCATTATATAATTAAATGTACAAGAATTCTCTCATCTCCATAGTTGGAGAAAACTAGATTACACAATTGAAAATAATTATCTAATTCATATTATAGGGGAAAAAAATCAAATATCCATAAGTGAACAATTAAAGCCTAGCACAATGTTAGACGTTAATAGTTAAGTGACAATGATTAGATAACAAAAGTCTTGTAATGTTAGTGATGAATGTTGATGGTAGTTGTTAGTGGTGGTCACTAGAAAATATAGTAGTATTTTTTTATCCCTTGGCTCTTATTTCTCCTATCATATAGAAAATGATGCATTATTTATAGCCTTTTCTTGAGAGAATTTTAGGTATAGTTTGTTAGAATCCAAAGAACAAATCGAATACTCCATATTGAGCCTCTTGATCATAGATAATTTATTCAATATTTGAATACCTTAATTGTACACCCATGACTACTTGTGCATGTACTTTCTCGCACGTATCTTACAGGTTATGTTCCGGTTACGAGGAAGGAGAATCCCATCCTCTTTTAGGACAATCTATTTGAAGGACTAACTTAGGAGGAGGGAAGGAGCTTATCACTGGAGCACTACTAGCCATCTTCAGCTACATCCTCCAAGAAGTTTCCCTCTCATAAGGGTGTGAAAACTAAAGTTCATCTCTCAGTCGAACAAGTCTTTATTCATCTCAACCAAAGTCAAGCCTTCTATACGCAGTCTATAAAAAATCAAGCAAACGACATACGTTCATCCATGAGACATCCTTCATAATCAGATCTTCACCAAGCTCTAAGATCTACATCAAGCCATTACTCATCCCCCCCCCCCCCCCCCCCCCCCACCCCACCACTCTTACCCTAGTAAAGAACTGTAAGGACACCTTACCCACATCCTCTCTCACATGATCATCACACCACTCGACACAACCAACCAATCTATATCAAGACTTGACAATACAACTCATATTCCTTATATATTATATTGTAACTCTCTGATCCCTATAAATAAGGGGAGAAGGGAGACACAAAAAATGTAGAAGGAAGGAGGGAGTGGCAAAAAAATATCATTTTCTAATATTTAGCTTGAGCTATGTGAGATATAGCTCGTGCCAGTCTCATTATTATATTTATGGTTGGGATAATAAGTATTTTATCTAAATCTATTCTTTCGCCATGTTTTTTCTCTCCTTTTTATCTTCATCATCCTTGTATACAGGTTCTCAACTTATATCTAGATTCATAAAGTACAGTCAGACATCATCCATTGAACAAATCTGGATTCAACATCCTCTTAGGTGCAATGAGCATGAATTTGATGACAAGAGCTATAAGATCACTACCTATCAAGCAACCAAAGACCTCAATGAGCATGATGAACCAAGACTATAATACCCATTATGAACTACAAGAAATAGAATAATGACTTCTAAAGACCATCTATAATACTCTTACAACCGTTAGCAAGGCACAAAATGCTAACACACCTGAAGGACCATTTGACCCTGAAGCTCATCATAAGCCTCTATAAGAAGTGCATGTCTTTGATATAATTGTCAACCATACTCGGCCCCAGGAAATAGATAAGAATTTAATCCTACCAGCTAAGCGATTCAAAGAAAGTGAACCATGGCTAACTAATTCCCTCTCCAGATCAATCGTTGAAGCAATAATGCCTCCCAAGTTGAAGGTGCCTCACTTAGAGGCCAACTGAGGTAAGAATGGCCCCATGCACCATGTGGCAATTTTTTAGTCCATGACCTCCCTCCTCGACATCAATGACACCCTCCAATATCATCTTTTCTTCAACAACTTAAAAGAATTAACACTCAGGAGATTCACTTGTATACCTAGTGGGGTGATCATCTCCTTCATTGAATTCAAGCAAATTTTGTAGCACATATTATGAGAGCCTAAAGACCCCCAAAAGGCTTATAAGTCTTGTTAAAAATGGGATATGAACTTGGAGAATCCTTGA